CATTGTCTTCTCCTTTTACTTTTCCAGGAACTTTTTGAGACCTCCTTGTCTGTTAAACAGTAATAAGTGCTATGAGAGAAAAAATAATATAAAAAGATCATACAAAGTAAGAGTAGACATTCTTCTGAAGTGAGAGGTTAGAGGATTTTCATTGAGCATGATTATCCCTTGGAAGTGTGTGTGTGTGTGGGGGGAGAGAATCTTGTGGTTTCCTGGGGGAAGAAGTTTCATGTAGGAACAACTGGGGAACCTGCCTGAGGTGTTGAAGTAACTTGGAGAAGTGGACAGGAAAGAGAGCTCCGGCCTGAGCGTTTGGCTCATGCACACTGCTTCAAGGACTTCTGCTTTTCCTGCGAGTAAGAGGACCACCCAGAACTGGGTTTCCAGCCAGAGGGGCTTGATTGGATTGAGATTTTTAATGGGATGATTCTAGCTGCTGTGCGGAGACTACTTGGAGTTATAAGCAAAGCAACCAGCTAGGAGACTGATAGAGTAATCCAGGAGAGGGGGAAATGCTCAGACCCAGTGGGAAAGGCCCAAAGTGGCAGACTGATCTCCTGGTGGATTAGGTGTGCAGGAGGGGAGAGAAAGAAGTCAAGGGTCATCTCAGGGTTTGGCTTGTTAAGATGTTCAGGGCTACCTGTCCCCTGCCTGCCTGTAGCCATCAAGTCTGTTGCATGTCATAGTGACTCCATGGAACAAACTAGAGCTCTGCCCAGGCCTTTGGGGTTGGCAGAGGCAGACTGCTTCCTTCCTTGGCGCAGGTGGTGGGTTTAAGCTGCAGGCAGGTGAACACCCCACCACCAGAATTTATTCTTTACTGCCTGCATTCTTTTCTGTTCAAGCTCTCAGCTAATACTGAGTCTATCCCTGTGACTACCCTCCCCTCTTCTAGGCTGTGTTACTTTACATTTTCTGGCAACTCGCAAAACCTACACGTCTTTTGAAGGTCATGTAACTAAGGTCGTTGTAGGACGTAATAGACTGTCAGTGGCAGTGTTGGCACCTCTGTTTTTAGATGAAGTGAATTCGCCTTCATGCCAAGAACTTAACTTTGCTCCTAGATTCATATTTTTATTACTATTATTTGCTTTAAAAATAAAAAGGCATGAAAACATTCATGGAAAAATTGGATTATAAGAGAATGGAATTTTTCCATGAACTTTTGAAGCCCCTGTGTATACAAAGGTATAACACAGCATTTGCCAACTCAACATTTTCAGGAGTGCAATTTATCAACATCTATAATACATTAATCATGTTCACAATTGTATTCTGAATGATTACGTTTACCTGAAGTCGAAATCCCTTAATGAGAAGACATTTATATTTATATTTTTACTATTCATTTTTTCTACAGGCTAAAGAATGGATACCAGCAGGAAAAACAAAGAAAGAAACGCCTAGTAAAAAATTCTATTCCGAGTCTGAGGAGGAAGACGGCTCCTCTGACAGCAGCAGTGGCAGTGGTGGGTTTTGTAATTTATTGAAATGCATTATTATGTATTATATTGCAGCTTACATGTATACTTCCAGAAAGAAAAAAAAAACAGTGGAGTATAGTGCATAACAGTCAGCAAGCAGTTTTAAATGAAGAGTATATTATTACAATTAATCCTTTCATTTTTTTAAATCACTTTTGAATTTTCAAAGTAATTCCAAATTCCTTCTTATTTGACATTGCCTCTTGGGCACATAAGATAATAAATAATAAAGCTGAAATAGAAACCCAAGTTTTCCTGTGTTCTGCTCCACACTGCCTCTTAAGTCAGTTGTTAGGTACCATTGAGCACAACAGAGGCGAACATTTCCTGGGCCCGCACCATGCTTACAACTGTTGCTGTATTTGAGCCCCTTGTTGCAGCTACTTTGTCAGTTCGTCTCATTGAGGGTTTCCTCTTGGTCACTGATCCCCCATCAAGCAAGGTGTCCTGGTCTTTGATCTTCTTCCCACTGTGTGCTTACAGCAAGCAGGTAGACACTAATTTCTTGGAAACGTGATTTTGTACATGAGAGCCTATTTAAAACAAAAACCTAAACAGAACACTACCACTGTCAAAATTCCAACTGATAACGACCCAAAGAACTCCGAGAACTGCTTCAAAGAGTTCCCAAGGCTGCAAAACTGCAGAAGCAGCCCACTCCATCTCTCTCTCCAGAGAGCTACTGGTGAAGTGGAACAAACTCTGACCTTTCAGTGAGCACTGTAACCACTATGCCTAGGTCTTTCGTGGGGCCTTTATTTATTTCTTTTATTCTATTGTGTTTGTGTGAAGGTCTACAGCAGGGATCATCCATTTGCATTTGACAAGTTTGCTCACGTTCTGTTGCATCTCACTCACTCATGGCAATCCTTTCCATGTAATGTCACCATCCCACCTCCTCCCTGTGTTTTCTGTCGCGATTCCTCCCACCTTCATAACCCTCTCAACTGTGTCCTTCCTACCTCCTTTCATCCCAAATACCTGATTCTCCTGAGGTCTGCACACATCAGAAGTGTTGTTATTTCCCTTAGTGGCCTGCCTATGGTTTGACTGAAAATTGAGCCACAGGGGCGAGTTCAGTTCCAGACCCCAAGAGTGACCGAGTACCACAGCCTCGGGGCTTCCTTTAGTCTCCATCTGACCAGCAAGCCTGGACTCTCGGGATGTCGAGTTTCATTCCACAAGCCTACTCCTTCTAGGACCTTCTAATGGCATTCCTTTCAGAGCAGTTGACATTGTAGGCTGGGAACCTTGTCGTTCTTCTGGCCTCAGTATTGTAGAGGCTGACATTTGTATGTGCCATTAGTCCAGTGGACTGATTGTTTACACATTTCTTAGATTTTCATCACTCTTCTTAACTCTGGTTAGGGAGCGACCAATAGTTGGACCTTATGTAACCACTCGGGAGACTTTAACGTACCAGGTGGCGTGTTATGCAAATTGACCTTGCTGTCCCCTAAGACTGTGGTATGGTTCTGAACCCTTAGGACCTGCAATTTATTCTAGCAGGTCTTCAAAAGCAATTTTTTTTTTTGTATATGTAAAAAGGAAATGTAAAAGTTTAAAGTTTGAATAATCTGTTTTTGTTCCATTTTACATTAACCGATGATCATATGAACCTGAAGAAGGATAAAAGTAAAATGAGTAAATATCCTACATATTATAAAGGAACAGAAAGAATGGAGGCAACTATATACAATGAGAAGAATACTAATAGGAAGGACTTAGAATTCCTGGGTCTTGGCTATGCAAATTGAATAAGCCACTTACCTTCCTCCATATTTGATAAATGAAGAAGTAGACTTAAGTGTTTTTTAAGATTCTAAAATGCTAAAATTTGGTGGTATGTGTGCATAACAAAAAATAATATTGGTGTCCCTTCCTAACTCTTATTATTAATTAACCTAGTGGACAGATCTGACACCAAAACAACTCATACCCAACTTCCCTCTGTAATATTTATTCTGTGGAGAACTAGGACCCATCACCATTACTTGTTCATTAAATATCTCAGTCTAAGATTCTTTCCTCCTTTTCCCTGTTTCCTCAATCGAAATCTTTGTTTCCAGTATCAACTCTGGTAAAGACTCAGTCTCTCAGACCCACAGAGCAGTCCTGCTCTGTCCCCAGGCTCTCTGTCAGTTGGAATTGGCTCAGTGGCACTAAGGTTGGTTGGTTTTTCTTATTTGAATGGCTTATTTCCTCTCTCAAAGAATGTTCCTTGGAAAGATTCAACTGTTGCATTTTGTTTTTTCCTGAATAAAGATTTTCATTGCAAGTGGAGGATTTCGAAATCATTTCTTTATCTCTACATTTATTTTTAAAATAAAGTGGCATCTAACAGGGGTTTTTGTTTTGTTTTGTTTTTTTGCCAAAACTAGTCACTTAAGGCTTTGCAGTGGGGTTTTCCTATGATTCACTATTTTCCTTCTCACCAAGAGGCTTCAGTGGGTTTGTTCGTTTCTCTACACTCTCCTTGCAGTAGGGATCTGTCGATCTGAACAAATGGGGTATCGAAATGCAAAGCATTGAACAAGTAGGGTCCACATAACCAAAATTCAACATCTGGCCTCATTTGTGGTGAAGAGAGACAGTTCTGTGTGTCCTGGAGTATGCTGGGGAAGGGCTGGAAGTCAGAGAATGCCTGGTTCTGTTTTCCAGGGAGTGGGAGTGGAGAAGATGACGAGGAGGGAGACAGCAGCGAGGACAGCAGTGAAGACTCTTCCAGTGGGAGTGAGTCAGAAGTGGACAACAGAAAAACAGCCAAGAAGAGCTCGACAAATAAAGGCAAAAGGTAACGAGCTCTGTGCTGTGCTGTCCTCCAGTCTCATACTTTCCTTTAATTCACAAGAGTGAGTAAGTGTGTGTACTTCTTCACTCCCCACCCCACCCGCCGAACAGATGATGAAATCTCTTTAAATCAAAGTGCTGGTAGTTAACATTTATTCTGCCATGTGCAAGGCTTGGTTTTCATTTTGAACTTGAACCAAGCTTACATTTTGAAAATTGGTATAACCTTGGAAGGCCGAGTTAAGTGATCAAGCAGTAGGTATGAAACACTTAATTACCTTTTGTAGCAATTTTGCTGAGGACTAAAATTAAATCCTCCAACACCTTGCCATTATGTAACGAAGACAATTGATATTTCTAAATAATGTTACGTTAAAAAGATTATGCTCCAAATATTGGAGTCAAGGGCCGTGAAGGAAGATGGTCACGAGGTCCTTAAGTGCCTGCGCATTTCCAGATCTCCGCCCTCCACAGCGTTCTCCTGTCTTAAGGTGGCGTCAGAATGTTGAGTAATTGGAGCTGAGCCCCTGGACTGTGTGAATCGGTTGTCCCCAGCGCTGTCAGCGAGTGGCCTCTGCAGACATGATGGCCTTGTGCTGGAGATCCTGCTGTCTGCTCACTTGATGAGCTTGCAGCTCGGCTCATTCGTGGCTGACAGCCCTGATTGGGGCTCAGTACGCTCTCTGCTCCTTTTATTACAGACAGTAATTAAAGCAGCTCGCCCTGCCACTTCCATAACAAACACAGCATAATGCCCTAATTATGACTTTATTAATTTAAGTCAGGATTTAATGATTTTAAAAGTGATTTATATTGTTTTTCCTGTTCAGAACAAATGAAATCTGTAGGTTAAATTAATACAGGCTTTTCATCATTGCAAAGTTAAAAAGCTAGTTACCAGTAAATTCTTTTCATTAGATTAACATCTGAAACTCTAAGCAGTAAAGTAAACAATAATTACCCATCAAAACTGAGTGATGCAGAATAAAAACCACACTTTTGCCTTTAAAATCTTATCTTAAAAGCTCGGGGTTGGGACATACTCTGAGCCAGCTCACTGGTTGCTGCAAAAGTGCTTCTTGTTTCATAAAACCACCTTCTCTTTGAGTGGGATTCTCTTGTTTCTGGTGTAATACCAGACTGTCCGTGATGATCTGGCTTTATCAAAGCAGTGGTGTTTCCAGGAAGAGTGACTTTTGTTCAGATGGCAAATTTGAAAGCATGTATTATCTTACTTTCATTATTTTTCTTTTCGGAAATGAAGTTTCCTTTCTGCCCGGGTTTGAGCTTAAAAGAATTGCTTATACAATAAAGGGAGTTTCAAAAAACGCTGTATTTTCAAGTGCATGTTCTAACTAGTGAAAGGTAGATAATAAATTGCTGTTCTCTGATAGAGGGGAAGGAAACAACATGATTTTTAGTTCTCAGGTATAATTACATGTGCTCTTAGATGCTGCCAGGGCTCCATTTTTAATAAACAGCAATCATATTTCCTCCACAAAAATCAATTCTAGGAAACATCGATTCTGTTCTTGCCTCACACCGCCTCTCCCCGTCTTTATCTGCTTGTTTCTGAGAATATTTTTTTAACTATGCTGGTGTAACTAGATTTTTTTTTTTTTTAATGCTTAAGGACCGGAGCATGTCTTTCCAACCACTCTTTAATCATCCTAAAGATTTATGGCCAAATGTTGGGCTAGGAGTTTTATGCTCCCAAAAGGGATAATAAGACATGTAGAGGAAGCATATGGACTTTGGACTAAGACAGATGCGAGTCCAGATTCAATGCCTGCCCCTTATTGCTAGGTATCCTTGAGCAAGTTACTCCACCGTCCTGAGGATTGATATCGTTACTGTGAATGGGGTGGTGATGCACCCATCAGGCATTTGTTGGGGTGTCTCGATTAGGTCGTTGCTCTGCAGTACCTAGCACGGTAGGGTACAAGGTAGATTCTCTTTTCAAAAGTGGATTTCAATTATTTCCATCAATTATTAAATTCAGAACGTATACCTTCCGTCAATTTTGAGGAAGTGAGAAGCATCACAAAAGCTCTTTCTTCCTCTGAGAGAAAGAAGACTTTCTGGAGCATTGCCTCCCTCCCGCCCTGCCTTTATTCCTCTTCCGCAGCTTACGGTGGCTCTATGTCCAGGTAGTATACCCAATCTTGGCCCTTTGTCTTGGCGCTCTGTCAGATGTTGTGACAACACACTACTTATTGTGTCATTATTTTATTGGCAGAGCCAGCTTCTTGTCTCCCCACTGGACTGCAGGCTCCGCAGTAGTCCGTAGACCCGGACAGCAGCAGTATCTTGCTCCTGCTCCGCTCCTCTCCTTAGCCCTAGCATATGCCAACATAGAGTGGAAAATAAATTTCTTTTTGAAGGAGTGACTGGATAAACAAGTCAAGAACATTAAGCATGTCACTGCGATCTTTTTTCGTGCATTTGAAAAGTCTGCATTTGACTATCTCACACCTATAGTGATGATCAGTACTTTAGAAACATTTTCTTTTGAGCTGGTTAACATTTTCTGATAATCTGTAGTGTGTTTGGCAGGAGAAAGACTGGGCTTTAAACGGTAAACATTTACAGTCTTAGAAACCCACAGTGCTGAGTCACATTGACTTGATGGCAGTGAGTTTGGTTTGGTTATAGTGTGTTTGAAGGTCCCATTTGGGAACATATGTGAGAATCTTTTGAGCAGCAAAATCTAAAATGTAAGTCTCAAAAGTAGTCATATATGTGTTATCAATAAGCAATATTTTGAGATAACCTTTGCAAGTCAACCTATATATATTTGAAGTGTTTATTATTAGGGCTTAATGTATATTCCTAGTAAAGCAGGCATTGGTTCAAGTTGCTAATTCATTTTACTGTTACTGAGAATATTGCTTAGTGTTATTTTATGACCTTTTTGTATTTGAAGTGTTGTGGCATGATATAATTGAGTTTGAATGGATTCTGACACATTTGGTTAAAAATAATGCTAGCTTTATTATCATATTATTACATTCTAGAATCTTAAAACCAGTTTACTCTTTCTATATTCTAAAGAAACCGTTCTTAATAGGATACACTTATCTAGTTAAGGCCATGATTTATTTGTACAATGAGCAGATACCAACATTTGCCATTTGAATGTTTAGCTTCTTCACACACTTGCTAATATAAAGGATTTAAAGTTTATACTTAAAATTTTATTCTTATGTTTAGTGATTACGAAGATGGGGAGAAGGAAAATGAAAACTCGAAAACTTCAGATTCTTCCAATGCTGAATCTAGCTCTGTCGAAGAAAGTTCTTCAGAATCTGAATCGGCATCAGAATCCGAAAGTGAACCCGAGTTCAGAAAAGTCACTAAGGTAAAAGATGATGCACGTTTCTTTTCATGGGAGACGACAGTCTTATACCCCTTTCCCTATTAAAAAGAAAACATTTCCCCCAAGAAAGGGTGCTTCATTGGAAATTAAGAAACTAAGGTAGGGGGGTGTTAAGTAATCATGGTCATAGACCACTGAAGTATGCACTACCTTCATTCACCCAGAGCAGAGAAGTTGTGAACTTTGTTGAAACCTCATTGCTTGTCTCTGAAATTACTGGCTCCATGTCCAGAGCATTGCCTCTCTTGTTCTTGGATAGATCGGGACAAGGGAGGCTTTTGTTAAAAGGGAAGGAAAAGAGAATCACAGAAGTAGAGTTGAGCAAAGGAATATGAATGTGCATGCATCGTAAGTCATTGAAACATATACTTTCTAAAATATATAAGGATTTTGGATGATAGAATTAGTAAAGGTTTGATTAGAGGAATATACATTCTTTACGCAGTTCACAAAAGTTTTGATCATGTATTTAAAACCAAGAACTGATTATGTCATGTATAGTTTATTTTTTATCTAAAATTTGTAACACAGAAGCTTGTCCACTTGGCAGCTAAAAAGAGTCTAAAATAGCAAAGTGTACTGATTAATATGGAGTTCAGACTTAATAAGAAAGATCTCCTCTGCCCACTAGGGTGGCTCTGAGTCGGAATCGCCTCGATGGTGGGGGTTTGGTGTAAAGGGATTGCACTGATGCTGGGCTTCAGATACAGTGGTTTTTACCTATGGTTTTTATTCCTTGTGTTGAAAATAGGGTGAGACCCTACCTTTTATTAGATTCCATTTCTTTTTAGCCCAGTCTCTTTTTCATTTTTTTTTTAGTTAACACTTAGCTTTCATTTCTTGAGTGTGTCAGCTGAGTAGTGAAGGATGAACATCAGTTCATTGGAATAGACAATTATCCTTACTCACCCAGAGATGTATTGTTAAAGAATAAGCATATTTTAAAATTGGGCAATATTTGTCGCGCCCTTATTTCAAGTATTTTTGCACATGATAAATTAAAGCCTATCTTCAACCTGAGTAGATGTTTAAATTTGTATGTGTGATCTTCAATTTCTGGTTTTCAAAAATTCATATAAAATCTTAGCAATTTTTAAGGTTTACGAATCTGGCCTCATGAAAACTTACTACGTATCAGTTTGGTCCCGTCTCATTTCCTGCTTATATCCAATTACACAAAAAGCATAAAATAGTATTTAAGATACAGAAGCACTTAAAATTGACATTAACCCAGAATAAGAAAAAGATGGTTTCTTTTTTTAAAGCAAGAGCTCAAGAAATCAAGTAGATGTAACTTAAGTGAGTTATTCTGATAAGGTTTTTAAAATTACGACATTGAGCTAAGCCAGAGAGTCTGTGTAGTATTCTAAGACAGCTTAAGGGCCTGTGTAAAGATGACCATGTAACCTCAGGTCAATGATTTAATTGTCACAGATTAAATCACAGATTTAATGTCACAGATTGTCAGTGATCTGATAAAACTTATTACAATTCAAAATATTTTAGAATATCAGTGTGCCAAATTCAAACTATTGCACTGAGCCAAGACTATTAAGAAACTGAGTTTTGCGCACTGTCGAGAGCTCCGTGTCTGCGCTTTGGCCAGAGGGCTTATTTGCTCCGTATTCCAGTACCTTTTCTGGGCTGCACAAAGGCAGATTGGGTTGTTGATTTGTTTTAATTTAGTAGGTGAGTTAAGTATTCTCCACCTTGGGGCCAATGTAGCCATTTATTTATTTCCATTTCTTTCTGTATGGTTTGAAGTTTCCCATGCAATTTGAGCGGTACCAATTTTCTAATAACGGACAACTCTATAATTGTGGAAAAGTTCTCCTTGCCCCGACTGTTGCATTCTGCTCTAAATTATGAGTAATGAAGGCAGATGGTGGGTGCTTTACCTTAATTTAGCATGACAGTATGTTAATGTGGAAAATTCATATGCCTTAAACCTGCAGCCCAGTTAACTCTATATCTTTACTCTTGCTCTTCTGTTTCTTTAATCTAGACAGTGTGTTTGGGGGCAGTAAGCATAAAAAACGAGACCTCGAGGTACCTTGAATATATGGCTTTCAAAACAGTTAATTTTTATGGTAGCCCTATGAGATAAGTATAGTGTTCTACTTGTTGGGAGATAATATCTTTATGCTTCAGTTTCCTCATCTATAAATTAGAAATGTTATACCTTTCCTACTTCTCTCAAGTATTACTATTAAAAAATGAGAGAAAAGTCCATGTAAAACACTATATAAATCAAAAAGCATTCTAAATATTTTTCAACTTGAGCATTAATTTCTTGAGTTCTTTACAATATTAGGATTATAGAACCCCAATTTTTTTGTTTGTATGTTTGTTTAACTCTAAGCCCACCTGCCATTTCTTGACTGTTCGCACCATTGACGTTACAAGTTAACATTCACTTAGGACTCCTTGATCTCATCTGCTTTCCTCAGGGACTTGAGCTGCCCTCCATTGTGAGTGTCTCGTAGCTCTCAGTCTCTACTCACCCCCATTTTCTTGCATTTAGCTCTGAATAAAGGATCCATATCTGCCTCCAAAAACGCAGACTCACTGCCTTAGCGTCGATTCTGACTCAGAGCAACCCCACAGGACAGCACAGAACTGCCCCCCCTGGTTTCTGAGGCTGTCACTCTTTCTGAGAGCAGAGCTGCCTCTCTCTCCCACAGAGGAGCTGATGGGGTGCAGCTGCTGACCTTGCCGTTGGCAGCCCAACACAGGATCTACTACGCCACCCGTGTTCCGCCTAGGCCAAAATTAGCCCTATGTTCTATGGACCTTATTTTGTTGATCATCATCTGTCTCTTTTGCAACTTCAGTTTCTTCCCACACTAATTCCTATTCAAGTCTTTTCTAACATTTAAATAGAGAAAGGCAGGGGGTGGCGGCAGGCAAGAGGGACAGAGTTTGGGCAAATAATGTAATTGAACTCTGCCCATTATTAGCTCTCTCTGCCCTGTAAATTGGTTTCTCCTTTTCTAGTTTAGTAGAGATAGCCCTCCCAGGACAGTCATCTGGGATTGGTCTTCCAAAGACTTTTCTGGGCCATTAACCCTCTTGGGCTTTTTGTATGGCTGTTTCCCACTGGTTGTAATGCTCTGCAGCCCCTTTCTTCCGACTTCTTGGAACTTCTATTCTTTGAATTAATCCGCTTACTTTTCAAACACCCTTGCCCCAAATTAGTGTTTAGTATACCTTTTTTTCTTTTATCAAAAATCCTAGTTTCGTTTATCTGAATAATATTTCCTAAGTCTTTCTTTCTCCCACTCTTTTCCCAGTTACAGGACCTGATTTACTTTTATAACTTCAGCTGATATGTTCTTATCAATTACTTTCCCTGGTGACACCTCCACATTCATAAAACAATTTATCTCTCCTTCCCAAATTCAAACCAAATTCTTAGATCTCTGTGGGACCCCTGGTTCTCCAGGTGTAATATGTCCAGAAGAAAGTATGGCCCTGCCTTTTAGCACCAGCATTCTCTCGCCTTTTCCAGGGTCTTTGTCGTCTTTGTTTAGGCAATTGCCATACCCCATAAATTCTGTGTATTATTTCATGTATGTGTTTCTCTCTTCCTGTTACCCACTTTCCATTCACTTACTCAGAGGCCATCACCATTAGTCGTTCTCAGAATCTTCCCCTACTACAGCCCTTCTGTCATGTGCCAGATTCACATTAGAGTTACCTGGAATTGCCCTTGGAGTTCACTGAACTCCTCTGGTTAAAGGTTTAGAGTTTCCCTCCTCACTTGTGTTTCCTGCATTCTCAGGCCAGTGTTTTTGTTCTTTCTGTGGCATGCCATGTGCTTTTCTGTTTCTGTGCACCTTCATCTTCTTTTTTGCACCATTTCTATGATAGAAAATACAAGCTGGGGCAGGCGTGGCCATAGAGTATGGTCCCTCCACTAACAGTTTGGCAAGGGAATGACTGCATGCTGTAACAACTGTTAGTCACGTGAGGAAAGTCCTCACGTGAATGGTGATGGCTTAGCACCACTGCTGAAGTGTTGTATTCCTACAGTGTTTGTCTTTTAAGTGTTGTCACATATATTACACAGTTTCAAGGGGAATGACTGAATGGAGATATGGGTAATATAGCCAATATTGTGCCCAAAAGAAATTCACATTTATATCCTTATTTGTATTTATTTTTGCCATAACAGGTTACAAGTTAGGCTGCTAACTGCAAGGACAATAGTTTGAACCCCGTTAGTCTGGGTAGACTAGAGAAACAAATTCATAGACACTCATATGGATAAAAGAAAGAGCTTTATATACAAGAGCAATTGAATATTGAGAAAACATTCCAGCCCAGTCCAGATCAAGTCCGTAAGTCCAATATTATCCCTTATGTCCAATACCAATCTATAAGTTCCTCTTCAGACTCATGAAACACATGCAATTACACTGAATACAGGAAGGTCATAGGCTGGTGGGTGGAAAGTCTTGCGGGTCCAGTGGCAGTGGAAGCATCTCAGTGCTGGCAGGGGTCTCCACACGGCTCCTTCAGCTCCAGGTCTAGCTCCTTGGAGCTAGCTCCATGTGTCTTGTACACGGGAATGTCTTGCAGGGAGTGAGTGTGTGTCCCGCCTCCAGCGAGCAGTGATTTGGGTTTTTTTGGTTTTGTATATATTTGCAATAGTTGAATCACAAACTGTATAAAGCGTCATCTATCGATAGGAAATATATATTTATTAAGTATCACTGGTATTTATTTGCATTCATTATTAAGAGCCAAGAAGCCCTGGTGGCACTGTCAGGTAAACAAACAAGGACTCCTAATCACAAAGTCGATGAAAGATTCAAGCTTGTGAAAATAATTAGTATGTGGAAGAAATTACAACCCGAGGCAAGTTTCGGATTGACCACTGTGTTCCAGAGAGCAAAGTCCAATCAAAACAGTAGCTTTTGAGGGATCTGTTGGGTCAATTTGATTTGTGGCCGCTCAGAATGTTATAGAAATGTTTGGGGGTGGGGGGGAATTCCATAGGGGTAACAGTGGTAGATTTTCTTGGGCAACACAGGATGATCTCTAGGGCTTATTTTGACTAAATTTTGTGAAAGTGGAAAACTGCATGGGTGAGGAAAAGGCCCAGAAAGTTGTACCATGGATTTCTCCCCCATCACAAGAATGTAGCTGCTCCTTCTTTGAAGGCAGCAACAACTGTCTCGGGAAAACGTTGCTAAGGAACCTTACCCTCTCTGCTGTACAGCTCTGATCTTGCCCCTTCATGTGTTCCCAGAATTCAAAGCATATTTCAAAGGAACAAGACTCAGGCTCTCGAGAATGACAAAACGGCGACTATGCCATGGTACTGATCAAAGAACACATTGTTCTTGTGGGAAGGGTTAGAGTGATGGAAACGAGGCCCTCCGAAGTCTATAGACCTAGATAAAGTGATGTTGAGAAAGACTACATTCACATTTTGATATTTTTGTTTAATACGGATTTTAATGACTGTGGAGCAATGGGTTTTAACCTCCCCTTTTTATATAGACTGGCTAAGGGGAGGGGGACTCCATTTGCATACCTGCCTTGTTCTAGATTATCAGTTATCTTTATCATGAGCTCTGGGTATCCCATAAAACATTGCTAATCCCTCTTGAGAGGTGCAGAGAGATTGATTAAATCTCCAAAGTGTTTTAAAGGGCAGCCACTGGTTTTGTGATCAGTGTTTGAATACCTGTAAAGGTTTAGAGTTCCTTAAAAAAAAAACAAAAGCAAAAAAAACCTTACCACCGAAAGATCCTTGAAGACAGAGTAAATTTAGTGTGTAGTTTGAAGTGGGTCAAGAATAAGAGTGAAAAGAACCATTTTCTGTATTGTTTACCTTTTCCCCCCAAGTATTTATGTATGTGGTAATTGTGGAATTTCTTTGGAATGTTGAAGAAAACTGTTTTTTGCTCTTAATAATTCAAAGTCTTGACTCTTTCAACTATGCCTTTCCCAATTTAGCTCACTTTACAAGTTCTTTAAAACAGAGAGAGCATTTTGCTTCCACTAAGATCTGTAAATCAAAATGTGTCATGACGCCTTCCTATTGAAGGTAGGTATAATCTAAGAAGCAAAAGATGTGATTTAGCAATTTAGATTGCTTTTTAACTCACAAAGTACTCTCGATTTACTGGCAATGTACTTTAGTTTAACACACAAGTTTGTAAGTGTGAGCCTCGGATTTTTTTTAATCAAACTTGTCAGATAGCTTGAAGGCAAGAGAGTCATTAAATTGCCATTCGTTGGTAATTCTAATTGAAAATATTTCATGCAAATATCTTGCCCTGTGAGATTAGAAATAAGCCGGGAATTGGTGCTTTCAGAGCACAATGTGGGTTTCATTAATTTTATATACCACTTATCCTGTTGCATAGTTGTAAATTAAAACCTCTTAACAATGGTCCCCTCATAGGAAGCATATCGGATGCTTGTCGTGTCCCATTTTTGTCTTTCACTTGCTTTCTTTTTTAACCAGCATGAAAATGAACATGCACAGGACATAAAAATCTTTGCAGCTATATTACTACAATTTTTCTTTGGTTTTGTTTCGTGTTTGGAGCTGACTAAGTGTTTCCAGGATCTTTTTATTTATTCTTCAGAGTGAAGTAGATTAAATAGAAATCAGCTTCTTAGCCCTGTGACTTTATATTTCATTTGGATGGTGAGGTGTATAATCGAATACCATAGAAACAAAATGGAGATTTGAGGATGATGAATTGGTAACGAGGTGTTTTTGTATAGTGAGGTTTTAAGATCAGTTACTGTTGTCCTTATAAAAGTCTAATACAGTCACTCAGCTGTTAAAAACCTAGTCCTCTATTTAAAAAAATATATACAAAAACAAATTGTCTATCTTTCTGCCTGATCTCTTCTCAAGTACTAACACAATGGAAACGGTGGGTGATCTGTCAATGTGTTTGGTTTGTCAATGATGGTTTTGTATAAATACTGAGAGGAGAAGAAATAAAATTCACACAGTAAAATATGATTTCATCTGCCTTTTCTCTGCAGCTCCATGGCTCATGCTGTGGTGTGAAATTCTCATTTTACACACTTTGCGGGCGGAGCACATGAATTATGCATTGAGCAAGAAAAATCTCCTGCCTCAAGTCCTATATGCATTTACCCAGGTTCTGTCTCTATTACCAAGATGAATTGCAAATGGAGACATGTTTGATGGAATAGAGCCCTGAACTTCTTTGTTTAGAATTCAGATTTTTTTATTTTTATAGTAGCCCTTTAAGTATGAAAATGTTTTGAACTTACCATGGATTTATTTATTTTTAATGAAAAGTGAAGCCTGATGTAAGAGAGAAATGCTGAACACATCACGGGGCTTTTTAGAGCTGTGAGTCCGAACACAAGCTTGTCAATTCCGTAGCAATGACCATGGTCTATTGCTAATGTTGGCTTTCAGTCCCTGGTCACTGGCTGTTCCCCAAAAGTCAATGAAATCCCGCCCTGTTGAGGTCCCTTTCTTCTCGGCTCCAAGCTTCTCATAAGGATTATGCCAATCCACACGCTGCTCTGTTGCTGGGTCGTATGTGACCTGACGTGTATTTAATAGATATTGTTGCACACTCTTAGCTGTGAAGTAGAAAATAAGGGAGAGCCCTGCCTCCGGCTTGCGCTTCATCTTGATTTGACAGGTTTCTAATTTTTCAGGTGGGGAAGTTTACAGTGCCATGAAGACAGTCATGCCCCATTGTGGCTCTTAGGAAGCTGCCCCCATTGTGCTCAGCATAGCGTTCTGAGAAGTCACACGGTGCTGGGCTGCTTCTGACTCTGTCTTCTTTCCTCCCAGGAATGATGTTCTCGTTGCTGGGACATTTTCGTCCTCAGCCTCGGTTTCAAGTTCCTCGCCATTTTTAAACCTCAACCTCTAAAATGCACCATGTTTTCTGTTGTCTCCCCCGCCCCCACCCCACCCCCAAAGTGTTACTCGCTTCAGAAACTAAAAGGAGAAGCAAAATACTGTTTTGTTTTTAATAGGAGGAGTGAAAACCAAATCCCCGCTAGATGACTGGGCATTTTCAGTGGCAGATAGACGTGTGTGCAGGAAGGAGGTTTCCGTGCCGGGGGTTGACCTGTGCGGGGAAGACGCAAGCCCAGCGTAATAGGACGGCGGACCATTTTCATCGCAGAGGCTGGAACCCGATGTCGGGTGCTCGGAGAGCAGAATGAGCCTCGTGCATCCACGCTGGCAGGCCCTAGTGTGAGGCGCACCTTCACCAATGTCTGCGATCGTTCACAGTAGCACGAGGCTCTAAAGACTTCGCTGGTTCCGTTTGAAGGTTGAAAGAGGGCCTGTCTTGACTGTTAGCTCTGTTGTTTTGCCCACACCAGACACAAAGTGAAAGCCAGAATCTCTCTGTTAAGTGATTGGCAGAAGAAAGCCAGCAGAAACGCTCAGTGAAAACCCAGGGTTGGCCTTTACTGTTAGCATATTTAATGTCAAAGAAATGCAGGTACTCATAAAGATAACTAACCTTTGCCCGACTAACATCAATTTATCGTTGAGCTGTTTCTACGGCTGCTCAGTGTTACACTTAATTTTTATATTTACATTTAAAAAGATATTTTTCAATGTTGGTTCTTTTTCATGTCTAACTAAACTGTGGACACCTCATGCTTAGGGATTTTATTTTCTTCCCTATGGTTCTGTGCATTTAGTAATTACAAACCCATGGCCTCGAAGCCAATTCAGACATGTAGCAACCCTGTAGGAGAGAATAGATCCTCCCCCGTGGGTTTCCAAGGCAGTACATGTTTAGTGAAGCCGAGTGTCACGTCTTTCGGTGGGAGAGCAGCTGGTAGGTTTGAACCACCAACCTGTTAGTTCACACCCAAGCACTTTAAGCACGACATCACCAGAGCTGCTTTTCCTAAATAGGTTGTTGTTGTGTTGTTAGGTGCCATCGAGTCAGTTTCAACTCACAGCGACCCTATGCACACCAGAAAGAAATGCTTCCTAAATAGAGGAAATGGAAAACCGTAGGGAAAATAAATCCTTCTCAGCCCCCAAAAGGAAAAGCTTGAGAGTGTCATTTATAGATTTTACTGATTACCTTTGTCAAAAGAAGTCTGACCTCACCCAGTGTTGACATAAACAGTACTTAAGATAGACACACTTTGTACAGTGTGTCTCAGAAAGGCTAGCCTGTCCTAACCAGTGGAAATGTTACAGCAAAGCGTGTAGTGTTTGAGCATTTTTTGCCCTTTCAGTCAGCTTGGTTAAGTATTATTGTCACGAATACTTGTGTATACTTTACCAAAGACTCGCATTTTCCTGTTAGCAAAACCTTGTCTGATCTATAAAATAAGTTATATAAACTATACAGTAGTCTAAAATGTTCATAAAATAATTGCTTACCTCTATGTTTTAAATGTTTTTCTCTTCTAAAGGTTCTATGTAATCTTTAAGCACAGACTATTTTTAAAATTTTCACGTGGGAAAGAAATACTGTTGTCTGAAACAATAACTTTGTTTAATAAAAAGATGTCATGTAACCATACAGAAACTTAGTTCGCTTTGTCGTAGGAAGAGTGAGCCAGAGACAGAAGGAAATACTTGTTTTGGAATATAGGGGACTACTTCATAGGTTTTGGAAGCAGACTGCCCAGTAAATGAAGTGTTTGTTATTTTTTAGGGGAAAGAAAGGAAAGCAAGACAAGATGGAAAGCCTGTTGCCAAAGATGTTTCACTCCTAGATCTCGATGATTGTACGTATTATGTTTTTTTAATTTTTTTTCTGTGTTCACAACAGTATTTTTATTTTGACAGCATCATTTATTTGCCTGGCTCAAAATAAAATGCACTGGCATCTCTTGAGAAAGATTTATTCAAGAATAAGACCAGGTATGTGGAAGTCAATTGTATCGGTATCTTTTTGTTTTCTTTTATCCGGTCAGTACCAGCTTTGTGTCATGAATAACCTAAATCAAGGTAGGTAGTGAAGTAAAACATGCCGAATGCATTGTAAGATCATCGGCTATGTCCATTAAAATAATCATCGACCTTCAAGAACTTCACAAAGAAATAGAATGATTATCAAGGGTGCATGGGGGAAGAGGGGAGGGGAAGGGAAAAAAAGGAAAATGAGCTGATTCTGGGAACCCAAGAGGAAAGCGAATTTTGGGAATAATGAGGGCAACAAATGTATAGATGTGCTTTACACAATTGATCTATGTGTTGTGATGAATTGTATGAGCCCCAATAAATTGATTTAAAGAAAAGAAAAGATAGGGGGATTTTTCCACAAAGTTTTCAGAAGCCTTATTAGGGTGCCCTCAAATAAAAGGTCCAGTCAAAACTGTGACTACTGTAAACGTCAAGGCCAAGAGCTTAGCTCAGAAGGTTATGGTGATTGGGGGAACTCCAAAGTTATAATCCTGATAGATATACACAAAGGACACAAGACGGTCATAGGAACTTTGAAAACTGTAGTGTTGAGAAAAAGACCAGGAAAGTTGAGAAAAAGACCAGGAAAGTTCTACCAAGGAATTTTTCCCCATCACAACAGTACACCTATTTTATTATTCTAGCAGAGCCAGGGTTCTCCTATGCGAATTTCATTGGGAAAACTTATCCTGTCCACCTAGAACCCTGATCTTGCCCCTTCAGACTAATTTGTGTCCCTCAAGCTCAAAGGACATTTCCGAGAGATGGATAGTGGTCCCTCAAGGATATCAAAACTGCCTTTTTGAAGGGGTGTAAATTGAAGAGTGCAGAATTCTCTGAGGTGGGTTAGAGAGGTGGAAACATCCCTTCAGAAGTATATAGACTTAGACGGATGGTATGTGGAGAAAGCATACCTTCATATTTGGGCTTTTTTGTTTCATAAAAGCTTTTTATGATTTTGTAACAATCCTTTCTTTACTTACCCTCCTAAATCGGAGTCAAATTTGAATCATTTTTCACCAATTGGAGAAGGTTTTAAAGTTATTCATTGTCCAGTGCTGCTGACGTTTGAAGAAATACACTCTGCATATTCTTTTGGTAAAGATACAAATAACTCACTGCCATCGAGTCACTGCTGGCTCATAGCAACCCCCTGTGGGTGTCAGACACTGTAACTGTTTACGGGAGTGGAAAGCCCAGACTTTCTCCCTTGGAGCTGCTGTGGGTTTCAAACTGCTGCCAATGCAGATTTCAGCCTAATGCATAACCACCAGGGATCCACATAGGGGTAGCTTCTTGGGAGTCACCCCAAAATTCAATTGCATACATCCTTTTCTAGCAATTACTATAGAGATAAATTCGCAAAGGAGTCTAATTCCTTTCCTGAGGTTATCAGACCCTATATCTGACACGTGGTGTGCTACTGTCCCCATAGCATGCTACTGCATGTGTTCATATTTCCCAAACAGACCAGGGCATTCCTGCCCACTCAGGGCCTTTGTTGTACCACACTGCTGCTGCTGCTGCTGCTGCTGCTGCTGCTGCTGCTGCTGCGAACATTTCCCACCCGATTGTCCCATGACTGAATGCCACTCCTTAGCTCCAGGTCAAAAACTGCATAGCTTTTATTATTCTCTGAAAGGATCTCCAATAGCATTCTCACATGGTCTGTTGTGACCAAATGGGAGGTAAATTCCATAAGAACAGGGTCTGCATGCTCATTGCTCTCTATAATATCCAGAATGATATCTAGTTATTAGTGGACACTCAATATATATTTGTTGAAAAGGCACATGGAGAAGCTACAGAAAGTTTGTGAGAAAATGGAATGAAAGGGTAATAGAGTATTTCCACGAACTTTTTGAAGCCCCCTCATATGTAAGAATTGTATTTTAGTATAGTTTTTAAAAATAAACAATAAAATGTATACCCTCTCACGGCTTTCAAACGGTCTGGAGCCTGATTTTGTCCACACAGACAAGCATTCTCTTAAAAATCTCTTTAAAAAGTCCTTAAGTATAAGACTTCTAGATTTTAAATGCTTTTCATCTCTCAGCATTAATTAAACTTAAGATCGGATATTACTTCTGTTTACATTTAATACTCATGTGCTATTTTAAAACATTATATTTTGTAGACTGTATTTGTCAGAAATGAAACTTGAAACTTTCTTGTTAACTGCACTTCAGCAAATATTAGCGCTTTGTTTGCGAAATACAAAATACTTTGCTAGGTGCTATGATAGAATTTGGTCATTCTCATCCAGAGTCCAGAATCTAATCAGACACACACATACCTGGACAAGTAACAATTCTATAAAAAACCTAATAGAGGTGCAAGAGATAGTGGAAAACAAGGAGACAAATGGAAAACCAATTGAATAACTACAAAGACCTTGAAGAAATGTAATCTGAGCTCAGAAATACAGAGAAGTGGAGTGTTATGGGAGAAAACATTATTGATTGGTTCTTAAAATACGAGCTTCATTACATTGTACTTAATAGCCTTCAAAATCTCGCCATTGTCCATCCGTTTCCTCATTCAGAAATTATATCCATATCTTTATTCAGAAAACAATTGTGACTGCTTGCTCTGATCCAGGTAATCTGCCACATGCTAGAGATTCTAAATAAATACAATATTATCCTTATCCAAGGAACCCAAAGAATAATGAAAGAAACAAGTAATTTAGCCTTTAGTAGGTAGCCGTGTCATAAATTATATGAAAAGGGATGTTTACATAATGTCTCTTAACAAGTTATTAGAGTATATATCTCACCTGCATTAGACCTCTGTAGAGGATTGAAGACCAAAGATGTCACTTTGAGGACTAAGGTGCGCCTGACCCAAGCCATGGTGCTCTCCATTGCATCATGGGCATGTGAGAGTTGGACACTGAATAAGGAAGCCTGAAGAAGAATCCATGCATTTGAATTATGATGCTGGCGAAGAATATTGAAAGTGCTGTGGGTTGTTAAAAGGACAAACAGATCTCTGTTGGAAGAAGTAAAACCAGTGTGCTCTTTAGAGGGAAGAGTGGCAGGGGGAGAGTATTGGTTGTGTCCCCATAGAACTGGAATGTGCATACAGACCCCACCAGGACACGCCAAACCAGGAGGGCAACGTAACACGTGCAGAGGAATCCATTAACAGATTGGACAATATGCCCAGCCCCAACCAGAAGCAGCCTGACCTCCACCATGGAAGGGAGTGCCACAGAAAATGAAAATAGATGGTCTGGTGGGGGAAAGGAACTGACCTACCACACCCAGAAGGAAGCTGAAGCAAATGAAGGGAAAGGAAGGGAGTGGAGCACACCAAGACCCACCAAGCTCAGAGGACAATAGCCCGGCTCAGAGCGGCCAATGCACAGAGAGGAACATATGGCCAGCCCCACTGCAAGATGCGACCTCCTGCACTGACCCATGGTCCTACATGGGGCAGCACTGGAGACACAGTGTGGGATGTGTGACCAAGCTGACCCCACCACACTTAGGCACAACACTAAAGACGTGCAATAGAGCGGCGGGGGCAGCAGAGCAAGGAGGTCCGAGGGAGTATCAAGGATGGACTTTGGGGCCTGGGCGTGGCACCCCATCAGACTCGTCTGGAAAACACTCCTAAAGGTCAACAAATAGACCTTGAACTGTTAACAGGTTTTTCTTTCGTTCTTTCTTTCTATTTACTCTTTTTTCTTTTAGATTTTGTGCGTCAGTGGCTTTTTTGTTAGTTTGTTGGTGTTGCTGTCGTCGTCGCTGTGTTATTTTGTGCCACTTTGTTTGGTGCTGTCGAGGCCATCCACAATTTTGTGTGCATATTATTATCTCTGCAGGTCTACCTAGATAAGATATGCTGGATAAATAATGTGGAGAAGAAAACAACGGGATCAAGGGATCAACGGTCATGGGGGGACATGGGAGAGTGCGAGGTGGGGGAAGGGAAGAGGTGTTAACCAACCCAGGGACAAGGGAACAACAAGTGATTCAAAACCAGTGGCAAGGAGGGAGTGGGAGCACTGGTAGGGAGTGATCAAGTGCAATGTAACCGAGAGGAATTACTGAAACCCAAATGAAGGCTGAGCATGGTAGTGGGACAAGAGGAAAGCAAAAGGAAATAGAGGAAAGAAGTAGGCAAAGGGCATACATAGAGGCCTAAATACAGGCATGTACATATGTAAATATATTTATGATTATGGGGGGAATAAATCTATGCATTTATTTATAGGTTTAGTAATAGGGTAGCAGATGGACATTGGGCCTCCACTCACGTACTCCTTCAATACAAGAACACTTTGCTCAACAAAACGGTCATTCCATGATACCCACCTTCCCGACACGATTGTTGAAGACAAACATGTGCATAAGCATATGTGGTGAAGAAAGCTGATGGTACCCGGCTAGCAAAAGATGTAGCATCTGCAGTCTTAAAGGCCTGAAGGTAAACAAGCGGCCATCTAGCTCGGAAGCAACAAAGCCCACAGGGAAGAAGCACACCAGCCTGTGTGAACACGAGGTGTTGAAGGGATCAAGTGGCAGACACCAAAGAACAGAACCATCATTGTGTGCTCACCTTCCCCATATAAACACTGAAGACAAACGGTGATATTGAAGGAAGAAGGCCAATCTGTGCTGAAGCTGTTAGCAACAAACAAAGCTCCAAGAATTGACGGAATACCTTTTGTGATGCTTCAGCCAACTGATACATCACTGTAAGTGCTTACTCATCTATGCCAAGAAATTTGAAAGACTGCTCTCTTGCCAGTCAGTTGGACACTTCCAATTCATATTTATGCCCATTTGGGAAAAAGCAATCCAATGAATGG